AATTCAGGGGCACTCAGCTACTGAGACATTTCCCCAGCCCTATTTTGTATTTTATTTAGAGACAGGGTCTCACTGAGTTACTTAGGGTCAAGGCTGGCTTTGAATTCCTGATTCTCCTATCTCAACCTCTTGAGCCGCTGGGATTACAGGCGTGTACCACCGTGCCCGGCTGCACCACTATTTTTAATATGATTTTGTTGTTGGTATCCAAGTCTCCTTCTGAGTTGGAACCTGTTGAGGTGAGATGATCACTTTCTAAGCCATGGAATAAATACCACAGTGAAACTTTCACTCCTTTTTCCTGCTCCAATGGGACCTGTGCCTCCTCCAGCCTGTTGAGTTACACTCCTCCTTCATATTGGCATGGCTTTATTGGGGACAGCCCCCCAGCATCTTTTAGAAGCGGAGGCTGCTTCAATAAGATTTTAAATGCCACTGACTAGCATTTTGCACAGATCCCACTGAGGCCACACCCTGTCCCCTTTCCTGGGAGCTCCCCATTTTTGTAAGCCAGATCCCTCTCCTCAGATCTCTCTGTGCCATTGTGGGGAGGGGTAGAGTGCTGGTTTAGCTGAAGGGGGTGGTTTGAGTATAGTCCCTGTTCCCCAGTGGAGAAATGCCTGGTGAAGGGGCAGCTTTGCTCTGGAAGCTAAGTGTGTGACTGGGCTGAACCCTGGACTCTTCACCTCATTTAATCCTCATGTCTCCTTTTTTGGGGAGTGCATAACAGCTGAGGGAACAGCCTCTGAGGGGCCTCATGGGCAGGTGGCAGGAGCTGAAGGGGATGGGGCCAGTCCGCATGCCAAAAAAACAGGTGCAAGTCTGTGGAGGGACGTAAAGACACAGCATAGGTGATCCATTTGTGCTTTCAAATGGTGACTCTTGGCTGGGGATGTGGCTCAAGCGGTAGTGCGCTTGCCTGGTATGCGTGCGGCCCGGGTTCGATCCTCAGTACCACATACCAACAAAGATGTTGTGTCCACCGAGAACTAAAAAATAAATATTAAAAATTCTCTCTCTCTCTCTCTCTCTCTCTCTCTCTCTCTCTCTTTAAAAAAAAAAAAAAAAGTCAAAAGGTGACTCTCAGTAGATGGTGCCTGGGACCTGAGGATGTCTTTTGAGTCGTTAGGTGTAGTTAAGGCCCCTGGGAAATATGGCAGGAATGAGGCCTGTTGGATGGTTGTGAGGGCACCGCCCCTCCTCAGGGCTTATACAGGAGCTTCTTGCCTTTCAGAAGGAGGCATTGTTGGTGGTGGTCTGTGGAAATTGCCTGCAGCCTTACACACCTGCCTGCTGCAGCTGGAGGAAGATTGGAGTGGGCATGTGGGTGGAAGTGAGTGGTGAGGTGAGATAGCTTGGCACTGGGCCACCTGTGCAGTGTGGGGGAGGGATGACATGCACCAGATTAACAGATATGCATGGGTGTGCAGAGATCTAAAATCTAAGGTTGCCCTGTGTCCCTGTGCAAGGGTGATGGTTGAAGGCAGGGAACATAGATACAGCACTGTTTGCACTGGCGGCTGGCTCAGACAGCTGCAGGTGAACTGGCCTCTCAAAGTGTTCTGGATCTCTCTTGGGTCAGAAACTGCCTGGAGGTTAACAGCTGCCTCTTCCTAATGCTGCCAGTAGAGTGCTTTTCCTCCTTCTGACAAAGGGGTTTATTCTTCAGCTGAAGGGCCCTGCACTGGGGATGGGAAACAAGGGAGTCTGTTCTTCTGTGGGGCTTTTTTTGGAAGTATCCTCAGGCGCTTCCTCCATGGCAGGCACTCATCTCCCCTGTAGGCTGTCCCCAGCTCCCTGTCTTTCTCAAGGACTTGATGGGGTGCTGCTCTTCCCCCACCCCATGCTCTGAGACCCCACCTTCCATTGCCCCTTTTCTTGTAGAGACCCTACCCTGGCTAGAGTCTGCTTCCCCTGAGCGCAGCAGCTCTGTATGGATGCCTTTGTGTCAGATTTGCCTCCCTATAGACATGCATTGGGCTGCTTTACTTGCCAGCAAATATGCATTGAGCACCTACTCCATGCTGGATAAGGCTCTGGGAGTGTGGAGTGATTGCCCACCCCTGCCCTCCTGGTGAGGAGAGGAGGGGGTGGACAGAGCCTACCCTGCAGATACAGAATAAAGTAGTGAGTGCTCTGGAGATAGCATTGGGGAGCTGGGCTGAACAAGCATGAGGACTTCTGGTGACTTTGTGAGAAGAGGAAGCTTAATTCTAGCAGCCCTGGTCCCATGGCAGTTGTCAGTCACGTGTGACTGCTGCATGTCCCAGCGTTCAAGGCTGAGGGGTAGGCTGACTCATTGGGTCACACAGCTCAGGAAGGGAGGAATAGTTCCATGTGTGTGGGGTTCCTAAAGTACATGTCTGTGGGGAGCTTCCAGACCCCATCAGGAGGACAGCACAGGTTAGAGGGCCAGAGGGTCCAAATGAATGGGTTCCTTACCATCTAGCTTGGTGCCCTTTGGTGTGCTCTCACTGTGCCTGTTTGGGGGTGAACTTTGCTTCTGTGATAAGCAGACCTTGCCTGGATTCAGTTGCCAGCTGGGCCAGGCTCAAGCTTCCCATACCTGCTGGCCTGTTCAAAGCCCCTGATTGCAGCTTCTTTTTTATTTGTAATGACTTGTTTTGGGGTTTTCAACCTCTTATTTACAAAAGATAATATATTCAAGACACTTTTAAAATTTAAAAAATCTGTCAAAAGTCATGGTCTGTTGTGTGAGTGTTAGCTTTGAGTTTTGATGTGTTTGTCTGTACCACTGTCATGCAGACTTGGGTAGCACTGAGGGTACTCTGGTGTCTGCCCCTGTCCTGCTGGCCCCTGTTGTCTTGGTGAGGAACACCTTTTGTGTTTAGTCTCCCAAATCACAAAAATCTGGGAGCCAGTCACTCAGGCTTCCCCTTGTCACACACTCGTACCCAGTTGCTTCTGTGTAGGTGTCCAATCCATTCCCTAGACCCTCTGAGGCTCTGTGCCTCTTTGCTTCTGAGCCTTCCCTCCTGAGAGCATTCTGTTTCCCTATCCTTCCTCCCCATGCCAGCCAGCTGGCTCCCCAGAGACATGCAGTTCTTTTTCAGCAAGATGCAAACCTTGTGAACTCAAGTTCCTTCTGCCATGTCCTTAGTATCTTCTGGGTGCCTGGGATTGTTACCTGGTTTAATTGCGTAAGTCCCCTACTGATGGCAAAATCAGATATTAAAGGGATTGGCTCTCCTGACTCAAAGTTGATTTCTTATAAATATGAATAGAAATTGTCTTGGACAATGAAAGCATTTCTGACATGGGTTCCATTATAACCATAGCAGAAATGCAAGAAAGAAAATGATGAAATCCCTTGTTTTCTTTTGTGAAAGTTTTGTAGTTTTATTTTGATATAATTTCAAATTTAATGAAAAGTTGCCAGAAAAAAAAATGACACGATGACCTTCATCCAAATTTACCAACTGTTTATCTGTGCCCCATTTGTGTGCCATCAGTTCTCTCTCATATATGCGTATTTTTTCCTGAACCCTTCCTTAGAAGAGTAAATTGAAGATATTATATCCCTTTACTCCTAAATATATCAATCTATTGCCTAGGAACAAGATGATTCTCTTATATAATCACAGTATAGGTATCAAATCAGGAAAGTTAGCATTAATCTAAGGCAGTTTTCAAACATAATTAGTCTTTTCTCATGGCTCAGCATGTAGCTCAGGATCACAGTTTGCATTTGTTGCATCTCTTTGGTCTGCCTCTGATCTGGAACAGTCTTCTGTCACTCATGATATGTGTTGTTGGAGTGTAGATTTTGTTTTTACCTAGAGGCCCTTAGTGTGGATTGGTGGGCTTGGGGCACACCCTTGGTTGCTATGTGCTGGCATGTCAGGTGGCCTCATAGCACCAGATCAGGTCCAAGTCCTCATATAGGTGATGTCAGCTGTGAGCACTTGGCTAAGGTGGTGTCCCCAGGTTCTTCAGTGTAACAAGAATGGTTTTTACTTTTGTAACTCATAATTTATAGGTGTTTCAAGCTATGTAAAGATCCCATTCCTCATCCATCTTTGGCCACCAGTTCAGCACCAGTTGCTCACTTCCTGACCCCACTAGTGATTACTAGCATGTGGTTAGGGCCTTCTAAGAGTCCCCTGTTGTTTATGTGTTTATTTACTTATATCTCTCTGGGCCATGGATTTCTGTTTTAATGGGTTCTAATCCATATTCTCATTATTTTGATGGTAACTGTTTCAGAATTGGTCAATAGGGTCCCCTTTAAGCTGGCTGCTGTTTCTGTTAGGGCCCATGTTTCTCATACAGCCAAGTGCTGCAGGATCACCCTATGCTTTCTAGTGATGCTTTGAAATGTTTGTTTTAATAACTATACCAATACAGTGCATTCTAAAACATGGTTTGTGTGGACTATCAGTTGGGAGTTGTGGTTTTGGGGGCTTTTGTTTGCTGTTCTTGGGAGAGAAGACATGACCATCACATGAGTGCCTTTCCTTTTATGATACTTGACAACTCTGTAAGTAGATAAATACAGATTAACCTTGCAGAGAACTGAACTGAGCTGGAGGCTAAGTACTAAAGCAGCTGCTATTCTTAGAAACACTGTGCACCTCAAATTCTAATTCATACAACAGCCTTGTTGATCATGGGTTGGTGTCCCTTTGTTAAACATAAGAAATTGGGGTTAAGAGAGGCTAATGTATATAAGTCCAGTGTCACATAGCTAATGAATGGTTGAGCCAGGGTTTTAATTCAGTTCATTTAACATGTTTCCCTACTCCAAACTGTAGAATATACACAGATAACAGTTAAATAACAAAACGTTCATTGCTGGTTTCAGGACTTTCTCTTGCTTCATAGTTCTGTCTGATGAGTTAAAAAGTATGTGGCTCACCACATTATCCCTCTCCAGTAAAACTTGACTTTTTTTTTTTTTTTAATCAGAATCATTTGGCTGTCCTAATGTCTCTTTAAATACCCAGACGTTCCTTAACCCTTTTATTTTCTTCCTATAGGAATTTGCTTGCTAGAAAACAAAATGCACGACTTGACAAACAAAATGACTCGGGATGGAAGTTATTTGGAAAAGTGCCACTCCGAGAGAATGCTCAGAGAGAGCCAAAGAGAATGCAAAAGGTACACCAGATTCAACCCAAAAACAGGCTGTCGTATGTACGGCATATGTGCACGAACCCTGCAGAAACAACTATTGCTGAGGCTTGGAAATCAGAAAACTCTTTGTATTATTTGCATGCTAAGTTCCTAAATAAGCTAAGTCTGTATCAGAGTGTGAATGAATTTCACCCTTTTTATTTCTTATAGCTTGTCACATGCACATAGGGAAGTTGAGTGGACAGAGTTGAGCTTCAGATATTTGTAACTTGATTAAATTTATTTATTCATGTTTTTTCACTAACAGCTGCAAACTTATTTATCATCAGATTTTTTGGTTTGATATTAAAGCATTCTCCCATGGGTTTCTTGGGCTTAAATCTTTTCCAGTGTGACTCTGGAATGGAAGGCTAGGCTGTCATCTTCCTAGGCTCGATAGGACCCCTTCCTTGCTCACTCTGAAGTTACCCACTTCCACGTTGGGGTCAAGCCAGGCCTGCAGCACTCTCCCCTCCTTGCTGCATTGGTCCTCCCCATAGGAGTCATGCCAGCAGCTGCAGACACATGCTCATCTTTGCAAGGGAGGGGGGCTCATGCACAGATGTGGCGTGCTTGTGGTCTGGGTAACCTTGACAGGTAGCCCCGCAACTACTTCTAGGCCCCAATGCAGCCATTTTGGCATTCTGACAGTGTGCTGTTGTCCCAGTGCTGTGACATTATCCCCAGCCACCTTCTTTCTCCAACCTGATGTTTGTCAAGGCAACACTGTTGAGGACAACTACATGCACGATCTCATAATTGACACTGGGTTTAGAGGAGGGATAGGCACCTGTGCTCAGTAGTGGCCCCCTGGAAATGATCCCAGGGCAGGTTTTCGAGGAGCTCAAGTGTGTGGAAAGGAGGCAAGGCCTCCCAGAAAGCCTCCCACACAGGCACAGAGTTGTGGCAGAATCATTATGGGGATTTGTACTGACTGATTGTGATGTGCTAGTTTTAAATGGTTCCAGTTGGGTTTCTAGTTCCTTTAAAACTGGGATTGACTCTGTGAGGAAGGATTGTTATCCTTGGTTTACCAAAGAAGCAGAGATGCAAAGGCCAAAAGATTTATGCAGGGCCACGCAGCTAGGAAGTTGCAGAGCTAAAATGTGACTGGAGAAGCAGCAGGAGGAGGCTGTCCCCAGTGCTAGTGTGCTTGGTGCCCGCCTCCTACCTGAGGGTTCTCTGTTGGTAAGGAATGACGAACTCACCCTGGCAAGTCCCAGTGAGAGAAGGCAGGGTCTGGCCTAGTGCTGAGGTCATGATGGGGTGCAGTGATGGCCCCTGTGACTATCGGACAGATGGGCAGATGACCTGCTGGATGTGGGAGAGGCTGAGGCGCAGCCTGGCACTGGCCTCTATAGTCTAACCTCGGCCAACTATCTTGAATGCTATCCACCATTCACCATGCTAATTGTCTAGACCTGGAATTCACCTTTGTGATTGTGGTATTTTAGTTTGTAGGCTTATCATAAGCCACATTTTGTAGGCTTATCAAGCAAACATAAAATTATAAGTTTGTATGCAAAACCCAGATGCAAATTTCTTAGGAGACTAAGTAGTAACACTGTTGTAAGGTTTTTAAATAAATCTGCACTTTAAGCAAAAGTAAGTTATACAGATGAGACATTCCCATCACTTTTAATATCTGTTGCCTCATATTTGAATTTCTCATTTAGTACCCTGGATTATTTGTTCATTTTTGTTTTAAGGTGAACGTTTTCTTGACCTCAAAGGTTTTTTTTTTGTTGTTGTTATTTTCTTTTTTTGAATTGAAATGATCAGGCCGGCTGATTATGTGGTAACACAGTACTGTACAGAAGACCATCTGGCTTCAGTCATCAGTAATAAAGAATGTCATTATACCTGCATGAGTCATCCAGCCCTGCTGAGGATCTGCTTGCTTGTGCTTTGTGTGTCTCATCTCTCATGCCCTGCTCCAGGTTGGCAAAGTCAGGGAGGAGTAAAGTGAGGGGCCTGTTGCTGTGAGAAGGCTCTGGGCACCAGGCCTGAGCGTTGCTGTTATAAATATAAACTCTCTCAGCCCCACTGTGGAGAGGCGGGGATGGGCCTTGAACATCTACATTTGTGATCTAGAATGGAGATGATAATGTGTTAGGTCTAAAGCATATTCATAAGGTGTTCAGGAAACTCTTAATTTCTTTTCCTTCTTTGAGAACTTTTATTTTTTTTTAAATTAATTTCTTTTATTCTTTTTCTTTTTCTTTTTTTTTTTTTTGAGAAAAGCAGCATCACATGGTGATTTAGGAACATGAGCTTTAGGGCCAGACTGCCTGGGTTTGCATCCCAGCGCTGCCACAGTTGAGCTGTGACTTTGATCAAGTTACTTAACCTTTCTGAGCCTTGATTTTCCTCATCTCTAGAACTGAGAGAAAAATAATATCTACCTTTAAGGTGGTGAGGATTAGATGAGTAAATATACATCATGCGTTCAGAATAACAATGAAGGAAGTAAGTGCTGGAAAAGTGTTCACCATTAGTACCATTTCTTTCTCCTGACAAGATAGTCACAAACAAGAGAAAGTGGAACTGTAGTGTGAGAAGGAGCCTGAGCCATTTATTTGCTGCTTCTGCAAATACCAGGCCTCTTGGGACCAGCTCTTTTTTTGCCTGGGGTGCTGGAAAAGCAAAAGCAGTTGTGTTTGAGATGCCAAGCTGAGGGACTGGTATACACCAGCCAGGAGCTTTGGACTTGATTTCCAGCATCACCTCTTTTTGTCTGTATGACCTTGTTTCTTCTTGGTTTTCTCGTCTGCCAAATAGTCATTACCACACCTACTTACTGGATTGCTGGGACTGATGAAATTGGAAATGTATGTGATATATTTCTGCCCAGAGTCTAGCACAGTATATGGCTCAGAATTAGTCAAGAAGAGGTTCTCACAACTTTTAGTTAATAAATAGACTCAGTTTTTGATGTAGATGCTGTATGTGCTTTGTCCAGGGCACACCTGACCTCGTTCTAACTGGGCCATGTTCTTACTTGGGCCTTATAGACTTCAATTGGGGTAATGTTAATGTATTACTTTCAGTTATCTTTTCAAATTTCATAAAAATTTTGAAACTTATGTTTTCTATTAATTTTAATTATGATTTCAGAGAGATTTCCTTAGCAGGGAAAATAAAAATCACCAGTGGTAAGAGAGTCACACTAAAGCCATAGTTCCCTACCTACCCACCCCATTACTTTATTTACTTATTTTTTCATGTGGTGTTGAGAATCAAATCCAGTACCTCACATGTGCTAGGCAAATGGTCTACCATTGAGCCGTAACCTCAGCCTTAAAGCCATAGTTCTTGAAGTCCAGACAAGGCATGCCATTATTAGCTGGCATTTGTGAGAAAGGTACATTCTCAGGGCTTCAGCCACCTCCCTCTCCTCAAACACAGCACGCGCACACACACACACACACACTCTCTCTCTCTCTCTCTCTCTCTCTCTCTCTCTCACACACACACACACACACACACACACACACACACACACACACACACACACTGGGGCTGGGGCCCACAGGTAATTCTTATGCATGCTAAAATCTGAAAATCAGTGCTGTGCAAGAAGGGAATATTGGATTTGGGAATAAAATAGTCGTTTTCACCTTTACTTAGTTAGCTCTGGGCTAAAGGGTCCAGAGCACACCAGCATACAAATTTTGCTAACTGCTGGTGAATTGGAGTTCTTGAGAATAAAGGTGGGGAGAAAGAGAACTGCCTTGAGGTCTCCAGCCTTTGGGTTTGTATGCACCAGGGCTCTGACTAGATTGGCAGGGATGGTGACACTGCCTTGGAAGTGCTGTCCTTTGTCTTATAAATAAAAGGAGGCTGTCTTTCTTGGATTCCTTGGTTCTTGCTGCACAATTCAGAGCCACTGAGTAGATTCATCCTGGGATCACAGAGAAGTACAGGACTTCCTTGGCTGTTGCCTTCACTGGATCAAGCAAAAAAATTTTAACAAATAGATCCAATAATTAGTTGCAATTGTGATAAATGTGGAGAAGTCCAGAGTGCAGTGATCACAGAGGAGTTTTTGAACCACTGAGAACATTTCTTTGAAATCAAGTTTTTCAAGTAACTGCCAATTGCCCTGTGCAATGGTCAGTTCTTAGCCCTTGTTTTCTGGACTCATCAGCAGCTAACCCCTTTCTTTCCCTCCAGATGGCTCATCCTTCCTCTTCCCAATCCTGTAAATGTTGGAATGCCTCTCAGGTACTTCCAAGTCCATGGTCACTCCCTATGTCATTTCTGCTGGACATGAGTCTTCATAGGCCAGACCTACACGGGAGCCCTATGCTTGTCTTCAGTCAGGACTCTACCCCTGAACTGCAAATCCAGGCATCTAGCTGCCTAAAAGACTGTAAGAAGACCAGGTAAAAAGCAAATGTGAAGCTTTGTAATTCAAGCAGATGTCAGAGGCTTGGGGCTGGGAACATGATTCAATGGACTTTGTGAATCTTTTAGACAACATTGTATACACAGACTTAAGGAATGGGCACTATTGTGAGAAAATGAGGCTGAGCAGTCCTGGTTGGGCTCAGAGACAGCCATTGACGGGGCAGTGATGGCTGCAGGAAAGGACAGGCTGGTAGATTTCAGTATCCTGGATCTGACTCTTGTCATGGGAGCAGAGGTGAGTACATGGCCTGTTGGTTTGGGCTCATATGACGGGGAGTGTCTTGGATGGCCTTCTAGAATTTCAGGTTAGCTTTTAGATCTTAGAACTTCAGAAGGTGGCTAATCCAAGGGAACTTGAACTGACATTTAGTCTCCTTACCTAGGATCTTTCTGGGTGACTCACAAAGTCACAGAACATCACAAATTGCAGATAGTGTAGATCAGGGTGGTCAGTATGAGTAGCTGGCTTTGGACCTAGAGGCGAACTACAATAAAACTATTTTCACTTTCATAAGCCCTTACACCTTTGGAAGGTGAGCTTCAATGAGCTTACAGAGATAGCAGGTCCCAGT